AAAGAAAGAAAAAGAAAAAGAAAGAAAGAAAGAAAGGGAAGAAATTGTCTAGTGTGGTAGCACATGCCTGTAATCCCAGGATTTGGGAGCCTAACACAGGAGGATCATCTGGAATTTGAGGCAGACCTGGAATACACAGTGAGATACTATCTCAAATAAATAAATAAATAAATGAATGAATAAATGTAGGAAACGTATTTTGGTGCAAGGCCCTAGACTTAATCTCAGCACACGAACACACACACACACACACACACACACACACACACACACAGAAGAAAGGGGAAATATATTTGCCATACATATGCATATAATACTTCCACATTCAATGGCTGTTTTGTGGTTTATAAGAAAAAAACACATGACATAAGGGCCTGAGTTCAATTCCTGGTACAAAAAAAAAAAGAAAAAGAAAAAACTCACTTGAGTCATTAAACTCGCAGCAGAGCTAAACTTTGTTTTTAAATTAATGGACCTTACTTATTTAATAAATTGCTTTCTTGCCTGTGTGGTGGTACATGCCTATAATCCCAGCACTCAGGAGGCTGAAGCAGAGGCCCCATGTGAGTTTGAGGCCCTCTTGAGCTATGTAATGAGACCCTGTCTCACAAAAAAAAAGTTTTGGGCCCGGGAGATAGCTCAGTAGAAAAGCACTTGCCTGACAAGCACAGGGTCCTGAGTTCAATCCCTGGTACTGCAACAACAACAACAAAAAATTTCTTTATACTTTGTATACGTTAAGTATGAGCTGTCCTACTATGTTACTCCCAGTACCTAGACCTAATTTTTTTGAGCAGCTTCAGAGAAAAATGAGTAGGATTTATCATTTCCATATACCCTTCTTATTAACATCTTAGTGTGCTACATTTATAACAATTGATAGACCAATCTTAGTATATTATTCTTAACAAAATCCATAGGGATACATTATTATTTATGAAGACCATAATATACACACACTGCTGTTTATGTTGTACTGTAGTGAGGTTTTTTTTTTTTTTTTTTTTTAAAATTTTAGGGAAGGGTTGGAAGGATGTTCAGGGTCTCATTATTAGATTGGACTTGTAGTGATCTGCCTATTTACAGCCTCCCAAGAGCTGGGATTACAGGCATGGGCTACCACACCCAGCTCAATTGCAGTCTCAGCATGCCCCAGGGGCAGGACCTGCAAGGCAGGCCAGGGGATTGAACCACCCCCCACACCTCCCAACTCCCCCCGCCCCACACCTGCTTGCAGGTGCCTTAATCCACTGGGCTATTTGGCCGGCCCTGTTTTCATGTTTCAAGATAGGGCCTCACTAAGTTGCCCAGGCTGGCCAGGAACTTGAGATCCTCCTGACTCAGCTCAGTTGCCTGGGATGACAGGCATGGGCCATAAGCCTGAACTCAACTGATTTATTTTTAACACTGAATAGTATTCCATTGTACCATCGTCCCATGATATTCCAGATGTGCCACAAGTTGTTTACCCATTCACTTACCCAGGGACATTTCGGTTGAGCCTAAATTTTGGCAAGTATAAGTAAGAGTGCTGTAAATGTGCATACACCCATTTTTGTGTGCTCATACCCTCTCAGCTCTCTTGGGTGCTCATACCCTCTCAGCTCTCTTGCACAATTGATGAATCATATGTTAATAACATGCCTTTTAAGAAACTATCAATTTTTTTTTTTTCCAAAGTGGCTCTCCATTTTTTCTGTGGGGGCTGGGATAATGGGGGTTGAACCCAGCATCTTTGTGCTGAGCTACATCCCCAAACATTTTTATTTTCAGAGGGGTCTCACAAAGTGTCTAAATTGCCCAAGCTGGGCCCTAATTTACAATCCTCCTGCCTCGGCCTCTTGGAGTGCTGTGATTATAGATGGGCACCACCACACCCAGCTTGGGCCTGTTCAATTTCACGTTCCCAGGAGTAATAAATACAAGTCCCTATTACCACACATCCTCATCTGTACCATGTGTTGTCATCACTTTGGATTTGAGCCACAAGGTCTTAGTCACCAAGTTCCTCAGGTTGGGTTCAAACTTTTGATCCGCCTACCTCGGCCTCCCAGAGTGTTTGGATTACAGGCATTCACCACCATAACCAGCTTGGTTACATTAATTTTTGCTGCCAACTAAGAGTCCATAAATGTGTGGGCATTTGGAAAATCTATATAATTCTGTAAGCCAATGTTTTCTAAGTAAAAGGTCCATTCAGCAAACAAAATAGAGCTGGGCATGGTGATGCATGCTAGTAATCCCAAAACTCAGGAGTTTGAAGCAGGAGGATCAGAAAGAAAAAAAAAAAGAAGGTTATTAAGGATTGTAAAATAATACTTTTGCTCATAGATATGGATTCAGAGTCCACATTCCAAATGACCTTTCAAAATCTTCTATTTGAGGGCCAGGGTATAGTTCATATAAACAGGGCACACTAAGCATATGTGAGGCCCCAAGTTCACTTCTTAGTGTCCCCCACCCAAACCCAAAACACGGTTACAGTGGTCAGAAAGTAGCATCAAGCCAGGCTGGGTGCTGCACACCTGTAATCCAGGTACTGGAGAAGCTATGGCAGGAGGGATCACTGTTGAGTCTGAGGCCAGCCTGAGCTACGCAGTGAGTTGAAGTCCAGCCTGAGGGGCCGGGGAGATGGCTCAGTAGGATAAGTGCTTGACTGGCAAACGCAAGGATCTGAGTGCAATCCCTGGTTCCGCAAAAAAAAAAAAAAAAGTCCAGCCTGAACTACATAGTGACACTGTGTCTCAGCAAACAAAAATCCGAAAAAAAACTTCCCTTTCCAATTAGTTAATCTGTGAGGTCAGATTTCCTTTATATCCTTCAGTTAACATTTCACAGCAGATTTTTAACTTTTTGTGGTAAATGCTTTTTCATAAACGGGGATGTACATAAATATGTTATAACATTGCATTTTTAACTAATACAACAATTTTAAATTATGATTAACTTAAAAGTGTGTATGGTTTGGATGCTTGTCTAGCATGTGCCAGTCCCTGGTTTTCTTTTTGAGCTAAATAAAATTTCCAGTATCACAGATACTGAAATATGTAATACATATATAAATAAAGCGGTTTTAAACATATTTATTTATTTTGGGGAGAGGCTCATACGTAGTTCAAGCTGGCCTTGAACTTGGGGAGACACTCCTGCTTCTGTTTTTTCTAATAGTAGAGGGTCCTAAGACCAAAATTTGAGAACCGATGTTCTGGGATGGTCGCTTTTTCTGCTGGCTAGCCCCAGAGTGGTCAGGTACACACACTCTGCTCCCTGTGCTCATTCTGCACCCCCTTTCAGCTACACTATTCCCTCTCCCGCGGCTTTGGAAGACAGGGTTTCTGCAAGAACAGGCAGAGCGAACGCAAGGATCTGCGTACGCGCGTTATGCCGGAGCAGCACTTCAGGGATTCCGTGGTCAATTTCTGGGGGGAAAAGTCTGCCTTTTGCACCAAATCCCTTAGGCCGGTGGACGGACGATGCAAAGATGCTATTAGCTGGAGGAGAGTCGCGGCGGGGAGAGGACTCAAAGAAGTCCACAGGCTCTGAGGCTTCCGAAAAGTACGCAAGGACGAGGCTGGCAACACGCGGATACTTGCAAGCCCCGCAGACCCTCGGTCGGCCTCGATCCCCGCACAGAAGCAGGCACCTGTGCGCCTGCGCAGTCCCGGTCCACTGCCGCAGCCCAGCCCGTCGGGGCGCTCACGACAGTGCCGCGCTTTCCGGCCGATGCTGATGTGTCGGGAGGCGGGGTCTAGGACTGCGGAATCTCTAGGCTCCACCTGCTCAGGACTCCACCTGCTCAGCCCGGCCTCCGGGTCCGCTTGCCTGAACCCCGGAGGAGCGATGGCGCTGCGTGCCGGGTCCGCGCGGGCTTCGCCCGGCTCAGGTAGGACCCGCCCGTAGGACCCGCCCGACGGCGGGGAGAAGAGCGCTGCTCTGAGGCGCCAGAGGTCCCTCGGGGGACCTGGGGAAAGGAGCTGTTCAGATCGCAGCCTGCGGGATGACAGTGACATTCGGCGGCGCTCTGCAGTTGGGGGGCTGCAGCCCGAGGGGTTCGGGGACCTTGCGGGGCCCGGGGTACGGGCTGCACCCCGGGAGTCAGAGCTCTGTAGGAGAATCCAGGGGAACGCAGGGCTTGGGGCTTTGGGAGCTGAGATTTCTGTGATTTGAGAGTATTCCGCAACCCCTGCGCTCACACCTTCTCCGTTTACCGCTTGTAGATAAAGTGCAAAAGGCCAAGGCTGACAAGGTCTCAGGACCCAGGCAGGGCAGCCGAATGGGGAAACTCTTGGGCTTTGAATGGACAGACTTGTCCAGCTGGCAGAGGCTGGTGACCCTGCTTAATCGACCCACAGATCCCGCAAACCTAGCGGTCTTTCGTTTTCTCTTTGGTGAGTCCACTCTGGATGGGGACAGTTGGGATGGTGGTGGGAAGATGACCATCGACCGTCTGTTTCTTGGTTACTTAGACTTAGCTCTACTTTCTTTGGAGCTGAAGAGAATTGACATAGTGGCAGAGGGCTTTGTGAAGTTTAGGAACAAAGCCAGCTTTGTCTCTTTCAATTAGGGTTTGGTGACCAGACATGCTTTCATTTGAGATTATGTGAAACACAAAAGCAGAGGAATGGGGACCAGCTTTACTTGTGGCATGAAGTTGCCCAGTAACTGACTTTAGAGAAGTGAGGCAGGGTAACAAGACCACACTTTTGGCTGTGACCTCCTGACCCAGAGCTTCCTAACTCAGGTCCTGGGATACTTGGCATGGGTCACAGGCACTCCAGACTGTCATCCCTTAGCCTGGGCAGCTGGGACAGTTTTGCTCATGGAGTGATTTGGCAGGGTCTGGAGATGTTTTTAGTTGTCATAGCTTAGGGCAGGAATAGGAAGCTGTTGAGATCTATGCAAGCTAGTAGATGTCCTGTAACACACAGGATAATCATTCCAGCAAATAATTCACCAGCCCAAAATGTAATCGATCCTGAAGTTGAGAAACCCTGCTTATCTCAAGCTGGCTTTCTGACCTAAATACCCCTTCTGTTTATCTGAGTGTTAGCCAAACACCACTGCTTTCCTGGGTGTACTCGGAACCAAAAGAGGTTGGGAAGAGGCTGGACATGGTGGCATATGCCTGTAATCTTAGCACTTGGAAAGCTGAGGCCAGAGGATTGCCACACATTTGAAGTCAGCCTGGGCTACGTAGTGAGTTCAAGACCAGCCTGGACTCCATAGACCCTGCCTAAAAAAAAAAGAGAGAGAGAAAGAAAGAAAAGGTTGAGAAGGACCCCTCCTTAGAGCACTTTCTATAGCCAAGTAGAATGGGTCTTTATAACTGAGCCCAGTAGTTTTTATAAGATTTTGTATACTTTATTTAATCCTTTCTGCAGTCCTCTGAAGTATTACGAATCTCTGTTCCACGAGTGAAGAATTGGCTCACTGAGATAAATAGGCTCTGTAGTTATTGTTGAATAAATAGTAGAACCAAGATTAGAAGTCCATCCCTGCAGCCGGACATGCTCACCTGGTTTCTACTGGTTTCTCCTGCTGCTGCTCTGGCTGAGAGCTAACAGCTCCCTCCCCTGTTGCTGTCACAGCCTTCTTGATGGTGCTGGACATCCCCCAGGAGCGAGGGCTCAGCTCCCTGGACCGGAAGTACCTGGATGGGCTGGATGTGTGCCGCTTCCCCTTGCTGGATGCCCTGCACCCGCTGCCACTTGACTGGATGTATCTTGTCTACACCGTCATGTTTCTGGGTGAGGGCACAGGGGGACGCATGGAAGTAGTGGCTAGCCTGCCAAACATGAAAATCAGAAGCACGCTTCTTAGGAATGACCAAGGTCCTGGGTGCTTATTCTACTCTACTGTGAGTCCATTTCGTGCTGCTTCTCTTTGTGTCATCTGCACTGACCCCTACTCTTCTTTTTAAAATGTGAAAGTAATATTTAATTTCCATTTACTTTTGCCTGATTAGAAAATGCCTGATGACTTTTCTTAAGGTCAGTCACAGCCTGTCCCCAAAGGGGTCTAGGCCTGTGGTGACCCCTTGATCTCTCAATCCTCTCCTACAAATCCCCAGGGGCACTGGGCATGATGGTGGGCCTGTGCTACCGGATAAGCTGTGTGCTATTCCTGTTGCCCTACTGGTATGTCTTTCTTCTGGACAAGACGTCATGGAACAACCACTCCTATCTGTATGGTTTGTTGGCCTTTCAGCTGACGTTCATGGATGCAAACCACTACTGGTAAGAACCTGGGAGAGCATGGGGAGGGATTGGCTGGGGGGCGGTGAAGCTTGCTCCAGGCAGAGCAGGGAACTCCTAGAAGCTGCCACAGGAGGCATATCGTCAGCCATGTTTTGCAGCGTGTGGCTACAGGATTACACTTTGACTTGGGATGCATTTGGGAGGGGAACTGGCCAGCCAATTGGGGCAGTTGGAGTGACAAAAAGTAAAAAGTTTCTATCCTTCACTCTCCATATTTTCCTAGCTGTCTTGATCTGTTCCCATCCTGTAATGCTTTTAGAAGAAGAGAAGCTGGGTGTGGCGTCTCAGGCCTGTAATTCCAAGCACATGGGAGGATGAGGCAGGAGGATCACTGAGAGGTTGGGGCCAGTTAGGGCTGCAAAAGGAGTTCAAGACCAGTATGAACTGCATTAACTACGTAGTAAGACCTTGTCTCAAAAAGAAAAAAAAAAAAAAAAAACCAAAAAACGATTGTGTGAGGAGATCATGTCAGAGGAGGGGTCTATCAAGGAGAAAGTGACCTCCCCTACCTACGGCATAGGTAGCCATCTTTCAGGAGAGGTGGGAAAAGAAGGATTTGGAGTCAGGGAGCAGGGCAGGTGACCTTGATTCTTTCCATTATTAAGTGAAAAACAAATGCGAAATTTCAGTAGGATGGATACAGGAACAAAATCTCAAGCATTGAGTTCATTAATATTCATGAAGTTTCATCCATTATGTACACATACAGATTCTTCTTTTGCAAACTCTTGATTTTTTTTGGAGCCAGGTACAGTGGCACGTTAGATGCAGGGGTTGAGTGTATGGCCAAATGCATGATTAAGCATGTGCTTTACCACTAGGCTACAGCACTGCATTCCTTTTTTTTTTTTTCCCCTCGTTACCAGGGACCCTGCATTCCTTTTAGTAAGACTTTAAGAATATTTAGCTCTGATCATAAGGAATTTTTTTTTGGCGGAACTGGGGATTGAACTCAGGCCTTTGTGCTTGCCAGGGAAGCGCTTATTCCACTGAGCCATCTCCCCAGCCCCTTCCCCCATCTTTTTTTTTTTTTTTTTTTGGTGGAACTGGGGATTGAACTCAGGCCTTTGCACTTGCCAGTGAAGCGCTTATTCCACTGAGCCATCTCCCTGGCCCCCATTAAGAATTAAGAGTAAGTTTTGATAGTTTATCCCTGAGGTTTTCCATTTTTATTTTTTCATGACATAATCTCATTATGTAGTTCAGCCTGGCCTTGCACTCATGACAATCCTTCTGCCTCAGCCTCCTGAGCGCTGGATTACAGGCATGTGCTCCCATGCCCGGCTTTTATGACTCCTACACATTTTGAAGAAATTACCTATCATTTACCCGGAGCTTGCCTATGGCAGACACATTTAAAATTTTCCTCATTACAACCCTGTGACGGTGGTGGTGAACCCATGGCATGTGTGCCGCAGCGGGCATGCAGAGCCCTGTCAGCATATGAGGCCGATCGCCCCAGGAGCTGAGCCTGGATATTCAGGTTTAATTGCAGTTGTTGCATTTTGCAATAAATAAGAGTGCTTTAGGTGGCAGCTTGAGCACTCGGTCTCTAAATGGTTCACCATCATGGCCATCTGAAAAGCCAGGCGTAGTGACGTGTCTGTAATCCTAGTACTCAGGAGGCAGAGGCAGGAGGATTGCATGTCCAAGGCCAGCCTTGGCAATTTGGTGAGACCCTGTCTTAAAAATAGAGAGCTGGCAGATGCAGCTTGGTCGTAGGGCACTTGCCCAGCCTTGAGCGCAAGACCTTGGGATCAGTCTCTAGCGCTGCAAAAAGTTAAAAGCTATGAGGTCTATAGTGTTGTTCTCATTTTATAGATGAAGAAACTAAATCTTTCAGAAGTAGAGGATTTGTCTGAGGTCACATAGGTAAGAAACAGAAGCAAGTGGAGGCTCCTTGACTAAAGAGTCCAGTGCTCCTGATCACAGTTGTGTGCTGCCTCCTTCCCAGCTTCTTCTGCCGCCCCAGAATACATGTGCTGTTAGTATTTTATCACTTGGGGTCCTAGCATGAAAGTGGTTAGCTGGTACCCCCAAGCACTGGATTCTGGCATCCGGTCTATGAAGTGCTAGTTTCCGCTGTACATTATCCTGCTGTGGAATGGGAATTGAACCTAGGTTCTGGTGCATGCTGGGCAAGCACTGTACCACTGGGCTGCATTCCTAGCCCTTTTTTAAAATTTTGAGACAGTGTTTAACTAAGTTTCCCAGGCTGGCCTTAAATTTGGCAGTCCTCCTATTTCAAATTCTTGAATAGCTGGGATTCCAGGCATGTACCACCTGGCTGTACTAATAGACTTTTTCTTTTTTTTTTTTTAATAATAAAATAGGGGCTGGTGAGATGGCTCAGTGGTCTAACGCACCTACTTAGAACAAGCTTAGCAAAGCACAGGGACCTCGGTTCAATCCCCCAGCACCACATGCCAGCCAGCCCCGCCCCCTGGTGGGCTGGGCTGGCCACACACACACACACACACACACACACACACACACACACATAAATGAATAAGATTGAGAATAATAAAATAATTCCTGTTACATTGGGTTGAGGTGTAGTGAGTAGCGGAGTGCTTGCCCAGCATGTGTGAGGCCTTGGGCTTGATCCCTAGCACAGCAGGAAAAAAATCCATTAGTGTTTGCTCCTGTCTTTCAAAAGGGTCTCAGGAGAGCCCAGAGGAGCAGGGAGGCGGAGGAGGAGGTGTGCCTGACACTAGAACTGGTACAGTTGAAAGGGCTGAGAAACTTCCCCTCATCCTGAACTTCCTTGGTGTAGGTCTGTCGATGGCCTGCTGTGTGCCCAAAAGAGGAATGCGCACGTGCCCCTGTGGAACTATGCCATGCTGCGGGGCCAGGTATGGGACCTCAGCCCCGAGCGGGGCATTCCCGGGCCGCTGTCACAGTTTTCCATGCCAGGCTGCCCTCTGCCTTCCTGGATTGTCTGTGTTCACTGCTGGAAAGCTAGGCCAGCTTTCCGTTGTTTCCAACCTCTAAATCCTTGTCTGTGCCAGACTATGCAAACACCCTGCTTCAGCTCCCCGAATGCTGGCATTACAGGTGTGCTCAGCTACCTATAGCCTTTTTTTTGGGAGGGTGCCAGGAATTGAACTCAGGAACTCCCACTTGCCAGGCAGATGTGTGCCACTGAGCTATATCCTGGGCCCCTTACCTGTGGCATGTATGTATGTGTGTATTTGGTTATTACAGGGTCTCACTGCACAGCTCAGACTCTGTACAGTGATCCTCCTGTTTTATTGTTTGTTTGTTTGTTTTTTGCAGAACTGAGGATTGAACTCAGGCCCTTGCACTTGCCAGACAAGTACTTATTTTACTGAGCCATCTCCCTGGCCCCTGAGCTATCTCCTCGGCCCCGATCATCCTGTTTTTCATTGGAATTATAGGCATATGCCACCATGCCCAGACTCTGTGGCCAGCTCAGCCTGCCCTGGGGGCAGGGCTGGCGCCACATGTGGTGCCAGGGATTAAACCGCAGTCCCTGTGCTTGCCTAAGCTTGCTTAAGCAGGCACTTTAGTCAGCTGAGCTATCTCACCAGCGCCCCCCCTGTGGTTTTTTTAAACAAATTCATAATTCGTTGCCTTTCTTAGTCATTTTCTAATTGTGCGCTCCCCCTTATTTACACACTAGTACAGACTGAAGTGTGAGCTCATGGCAGACACTGAACTTTTTATTTTTATTACTTACTATACGTAGTGTCTGATTTATAATGTAACTTAGGTTTCTTGACTTTATGGTAGTATAAAAACATATCCATACAGCATTCAGTTTTTCATTTTGGAGTCTATGTTTAATAAGTTTCATAAGGGAAAGGATCATACCTGTGCTTTTGTTTTTCTTGCTGCTTGCTGTAGGCTGTGTCCGACAGGTAGGATGTCAGTGAATGCTTGTTGGTGAAGTGAATATCTGAAATGGGCGGGCCATGGAGTAGGCGTGTGAGATCAGAACAGACTTTATTTTTGGCAATGAAAACAAGAGGGGCCAGGGAGATAGCTCAGTAGGATAAGTACTTGCCTGGGAAGTACAAGGTCCAGAGTTGAATCCCTGGTACCAAAAAAAAGAAAACAGAAGAAACTCTTTTTTCTTGGTACACTTTGTTGTTCAGATCTTCATTGTGTACTTCATTGCGGGAGTGAAAAAGCTGGATGCCGACTGGGTGGAAGGCTACTCCATGGAGCATCTGTCCCGCCACTGGCTCTTCAGCCCCTTCAAGTAAGCAGGGTCGGAACCCCGGGCTGGAGCGTGGTGTGTGACTGTCACCTAGGGGCTGCGGTTCTGCCCCTTGAATTGGCCCCCGGCATCCTCCCTCTCTCTCATCCCCCATTGCGCAAAGGGCCTGGTCTGTGCCATTAAAAGACTAACCTTGAGAGATGCATGGGTAGGTAAGAAGGAAGGAGAAAATGGGGAGAAGAGGCAGGAGGAGGCAGCAATGCATGAGGGGTCTGCTTAGGGGCCTGCAAAGCGGGGAGCCCCCACCACTGTTATCAACAGCTCTGCAAAACAATTCGCCTCTGGTACTTCTCTCCCTGCTCACTTTGTTCTTTTTTTTTTTTT